AGAACACATACAGGAGGTATGGGGATAGGTAGAAAACCCAAAACATGAAAGCATTTGATGTCCCCACTCCAGAGGAACTAATACAGAAACCTTAAAGCGACAGAGGTCAACATGAGAAGGGGATCAGGAACCAGTGTGAAGATCAGTTAGAGAAGAATCAACCTGGGTTGTAACACATTTGTGCATGAAAGCAATGCTAGGAATCTCTCTGTATATTTGTCCTTATCTCAACTAGCAAAAATGCTATGTCTTTCTTATTATTGCTTATTACTACTCTTCAACAAAACTGGAGAAAAGCACAGAACAGGTTCTGTCTGGAAGTGAGGGGGGAAGGAGGGAGAGGATGAGGGGAGGGGCAGAAGGGAAAAATGACCCAAACAATGTATGCATATGTGAATAAATGAATAAAAAAAGGGAGGGGGGTGGCCCAAGGTGTAGGCCCCAAGTTCAAATCCCAGTACTGCAAACAAACAAACAAACAAACAAAAAAACAAAGGATATTTTGACAAGTGTTACACAGATGAACTTTGATAAAGCCAATGACAAAAGAACAAATATTGCATGGTTCCACTTATATGAGGTACTAGAGTATGACTACTTGGTATGACTATTATTAGTAGCCTCCTCCTCCTCCTCCTCCTCCTCCTCTTCATAGAAACAGGAAGTAGAATGGCAATTGCCAGGGGTGGGGTAAGAATGGAGCTGAGATGGGCAAATGGAGAGTTAAAGTTCAATGGGTACAGAGTTCAGTTTGGGAAGATGCAGTTCTAGAAATGGATGGTAATGATCATTACATAATATGAATCTACTTAATGCCAGAGAACTCTATAGTTAAAAATAGATAAAATGGTAAATTTTATGTTATATATATTTTACTACAATTTTCTGAAAGTGAATTCCATGCTTAAATCTTTCTATAATTCAGTGAATGTGTAACTCTGGTGTTATAGATTGAGATTCCCATATCAGAAGTGTTTTAGATTAGGATTTTTTTTTTCAAATTTTTGAATATGTACATATACACAATGACATTTTCTGGGGGTAGAGTTGAAGTCTAAAAGCAAAATTCACTCATGCTTAAAATATGTATCTGGAAACACACACAGCTTGAAAGGTAATTTTATACAATATTTATAATAGTTTTATGCATGTGACAGTTTCATGGTATGGGATCTTCCACTCTCAACATCATATTAACACTCAAAAAGTTTTGGACTTTGGAGCACTTTGTATTTCTAGGTTTTTAAATCATAAATGCTTGATCACTAGGAAGAAATCAGAATTCAAATATACATCACTCTGGGGCTGGGGATGCAGCTCAGTGGTACAGCACTTGCCTACCATGTATAAGGCCCTGGGTTAAATCACTAGAACTGCAGGACAAAAACCAACCAACCAACCAACCAAACCAACCAATCAACTCATCACAATAAATCAAATATCCATCATATGTAGTGATGAGATGCTCTCAGCAAAAGATTTACTAAAGTGAGAGCTAGGAATATGGCTCAGTGGTTGAACATTTGCCTGACATATGTTAGGCCCTAGGTTCAATTCCCAGCACTACACACATAAAAATTTACTAAAATGATGAAACAGAGTAATAGAATCAATATATTCCAGTGATCTACTTTAATATATATATTTTTAATAAGAACCTGTGTCTCAGAGTTAGGAGTTAACTGATTCATTCCAAAATATTTAATGAACATCTATCTATGCCATGCACTGTGCTTGATGCTAGGGATTTTAATAGTAAGGAAATGAAGATACTGTCATTACACTAATGGACATTACAAGCTGTATCTGAGGAGTGGGACAGAAAGAGAAAGAGACATTAATCAGATAATCACAAAAATAACTGGAATGTAGGAAGGTATATGATCTACCTGAGCACAGAACAAAGTAACCTGCCCTTGACGGACAAACTGGGCAAGATTTGAAAAAAGACTAAGAGTTAATGAGTGAGGTTGTGAGAACATCCAGGTTGAGGGAACTGAACATGCAAAGGTCCTATGGCAGGATGCAGACCATAAAATCAAAAGAAGGAGGCAGCCTGGTTGGAGTCCTGAGGATGTAGTCTGTAAGTAAAGGGAAGGAGGAAAGATCAGGTAAAGCCCTATATATTATCTTGTTGATTGTAATGGGATCTGGGTTTTTATCCTAAATGCAATTAAAAGACACTAAAAAGAACGTAAGTTAAGAGACAGTAAAATCAGAGTTATATTTTTAAAAGATCAGATATAATGCAGGAGTTAGACATATTCCAGGATATGATTTCCAGCCTACTAAATCAACACAGCCTGACCTTTCTCAAAATCAGACTTGGCTACTAGGAAACCTAGGTTTGCAGTCCTGTCACTAATTAAAAGTGATTCTGTACATAATTTATTCATTGTTCTGTGCCTTGGGCTCACTGTCTATAAAATAGCTCTATCCTAGGTTTATAAGGCTCCAAACAACTAAAAACCTTTTTCTTTGATTCTGCTGCCAAAATGATAGTCCTCAGAGTCCAGGTAGAAAAGAAAAAAGCCAGTACCTTTTCTCTGACCTGAGGCTTTGCTGCAGCAGCAGGTTACTGACACTCTGCTCCTCAGGCCCTGAGGGACAGGTCTTATGCTAGCCAATACCACAAACAAGGAGGAATAGGCACCAATTCCAGTCAGGCACTGCGCTGTGATGTTTCATTCAATGGCACATCATATACATGCCACATATGAGTATGGTCCCTTAAGATTATATTGCCCCATGATAATACAGCCATCTTAGTTTGTACAGGCACACGATATGATTTTTGCACAATGACAAAATGGCCTAACACCACATTTCTCAGGATCTATTTCTGTCATTAAACAAGGCATTCTTGCTAACTACTTCAGGATTCCCTTTCTTTGAATTTTGATCCCCCAGAGTTGGAGGTGGGGGAGTGCTATCAATGTGGGTATTATAAATTGACTTTTCTTCCTTTGCGTATCATCTAAAATGAACTTTATATTTTAATGAAACAAGGGTGAAATCTTTGCAGCCTTCATGTCTTTAATGTTTTAAATAATTATAAATCTTAAGTGTTTAACATCAGCAGTATTTGAAATGCACAACTCAGCTGTATTCATAACAGACCTCAAAATGAGAAGTTAGAACAAGTGATGTGCAAATTTCCTGCTCCCAAAATATTATTGGTGACATGTCAAGAGGCTTAAGGTGTCTTGAATAAACAAATGTAGGATTAGGAATATTAAAAGCCCACTGCATCTCTTCCAGAAAAAGTCACAAGGAAAATCCTCTATAAAAGGCCACCAGGGTTCCAGTAGTGCCACAGCTGTGCCCTCTGCATTTACTGCAGAAGGCCTTCAGAGCTGGAGTCTAGCCGCCTGTCAAAGAAAGGTGCTAAAGTCATCAGCATAGGAACATAAGCACTGAAAAAAAAAAGTAAGATTTTTGACGCTCCAAATGATGACTCTATTTCATTTAATGGAACAAAACAACCTTTTATAAGTACTTTGTCGTAAGCAGTCTACTAAACTCATTATCAACAGTTTAATAATCAATTTTTAACCATGCCCAGTCATTATTTTTAGAAACACCCAGAATCTAAACAGTTTAAGTAAAGCTTAACCTAGAACAGTTCAAACAAGAAGTCAAGATATTTAGATGTTATAGACAGACAAAACAAACAAACAAACAAACAAAAAAATAGACACACATCTTCTCTGATACTATCATATCAAAGAAAAGATAACAATACTGGTATTTAAATCCAAGCCATTCTAATGAAAAAAGAAGCACAGAATGGATATGAAAGGTAATTTTGTGGAGCAAAGACAAAAACAGATCTGAACCATGTCTCTGAAACCAGTTATTCAACTGACAGAAAACCTACAGTGCAGAGAATGAAGCAAGTGCTCGGTCTAATGTCCAGCCATAGCTAGCATTAGTGGGATAACTAACTGAATAAGGGAAACTTCAACTGATCACCAAGAGAAAAAACATAATAGATTTAAAAGACAATAGCCATAGGCTGGTGGAGAGGCTCAAGTGGTAGAGCACCTGCCTAGCAAGCTTGAGGCCCTGAATTCAAACTCCAGTACAGCCAAAAAAACAACATAAGACAATACCATAATGTAATAAGAAAACAGAATCTCTAATAAGCAAAAATTTTAAGTATTGATAAATTAAACACTGATACATGGCAACAGAATAAGCCCTATTACAATAGTCTGAAGAGATGATCACTTGCATATAAAAAAGTGTAAAACATTTTATACAATCCACAGTTATTTAAGTATGTAGGTGGAACACAAAAAATAAGCATGAGAGCCAAAACAGGGGGCCAGGCACAGTGGTTTAGGTTTCAAATCTCAGCTATTCAGGAAACAGAGATTGGGAGGATTGAGGTTCAAAGACAAAAAGTTAGTGAGACCCCATCTCAAACAGAAAGCTGGGTATGGTGACATGTGCCTGTCATCACAACTATGCAGGAGCCCACAGGTAGAACATTGCATTCAGGCTTCCCAGGCAAAAACACAAGACTCTGATCTGAAAAAGTAACTTAAAGCAAAAAAGGCCAGAAATGTGACTCAAGGGGTAAAGTGCTTGCCTAGCAAATGCGCTACCCTGAGCTCAAACCCCAGTCCTGGGGGGATAAAAAAAAAAAACAGAATGAAAACAGGTTATGTCAAAACAGTGAATTGACCTGGTCCGATGGTAGTAGGTTATCAGAACTAGTGTCACTAAAGTTGGACTATAACCCTCTACTGCTAAATTTGACTGGCTTAAACTTTTTTAAAAATGGTGAATTGTGCTCCTCAAATATTTTTATCTCTACCACTTTATACTCACTCCATGAAACATTCTTACTCAGCTCACCAACAAAAGAGGTGACTCAGGAATCCAGTTTACCAAGTAACCAACTCAAATCAATCCGGTAGACAACAGGAGTAAGACAGAAAGCTCTCACAAATACAACACTGCTATACTGGTGTAATAGTTGAACAACTTACCAAGGTGATGTCTCGGGAAGCTGCAGCTGCGCTCATATGCAAGCTAGGCTGCCTCACAGAACTGCTGCAATCAAGGGCTCGGGCAAACGTCCCCACAGCACTGAATAAACCAAGCACACAAAAGGAAAAATGAAGTCTTTTTTATTTTTATGTCTTAAAATAAAAAATTATAAATGAAAGGCAAAACAAGTCATTGGATGTTTGAGAATTAAATTATCAAATGAAAAGTATTTTCTCTCTTTTTTTTTTTTGCAGAATTAGGATTTGAATTTAAGGCCTCACACTTGCTAGACAGGTGTTCTATTGAGTCACTTACTAACCCTACTAGAACAATACTAATCTGAAAATCTTAAAATGTTCTAAAACCTGAAACTTTGGGTGCTGACATGACACACGTGGAAAATTCTATGCCATAAAACTTTGTTTCATGAACAAAATTATTTTAAAAAATTTTTACCTAAAATTATCTTCAGTTTCTGTGTATAATATGTAATGTGAAACAAAATGATTTGGGACCTATCCCTAAGATACCTCATTATGTATATGCACATTCCAGAATTCAAAAGAAAAATCAAAATCCTTAAACATTTCTGGTTCTGAGCATTATGGATAAGGGAATACTAGCTTCCAACTGACAAGCCAATTCACAATATATAGGTAATTACAATTCAATCAAGAAAATTAGTCTGTGTGAACATAAAAGAAGGAAAGGTAAGTTCTATTATAAAATGCCATGGAGAAAATAATTTGGTATTCAAATTTGCTCAAAAATGGAAAGTAAACCAGCTGCAGGGTTTGACTATTGCTGCAAAACAAGTTTTGATTACTCTTTTAGCTCAGATTGTGAAATCTCAGTAACATTTTTTCCTTAAAATGAGATATTACTAGTTGTACAAACCCCTTCCAAGAGGACTCAATATATAATTGATTTCTATTAAATCCCATTAAAAGAAAAAAAAATTCTTCAGTGCTGATTTTCATTTCTGATTTAGAGAGCCTTTCTGTATGTAAAGAACCTTAACCTCAAAGACACGCAACATGAAATGAAGACGAGGCGCACTGCTTATTGCCTACATTTTAACATTAGCTGAGGAAGAGATTTTTTTAAAACATTTTTAATTAAAATATGACAGATAAGCAAAATAAGCTCCCATAATGTATGAATGTATCTAGGTTCTAAACAACATCCAGGTTAAAAAAAAAAAAAAGGTGATGCAATCCTTGCCATGCTACTTCCCAATTCCTACTCCCACACTCCCCAAAAGAAACCACCATCCTGGATTAGTTTTGATCACACAATATGGACACTTTTTTGTTGTTTTGATACTGGGTCTCACTATGTAGCCCAGGCTGGCCTGGAACTTACTCTGTGGCTCAGGAGCTGTCTTTCAAACTTGTGATCCTACTGCCTCAGCCTCCTGAGTGCTGAGATTACAGGTGTTGGCTACCTTTCCCAGATGGACACTTTCTTTTTATGCCCAACTTCCTTCATTTAATTGTTTGTAGAGTCATCAAAGTTGCCAGTTGGAGCTATACTCATTCATTTTCCTTTCTATGGAGCATTCTTTTGATTCTCACCCCCACCTCTACTTTATTGTTGATCAACATTACATGTGTTTCCAGTTTTAGGTTACTATGAACAGTGACATTAATGCCATTTGTACACATATCTTCTAGCACACAGTTGTATGATTTCTTTTGAGTGCAATTTTAGCAGTGAAACTTAAGGGATATATGTTAGATGACAGCAGTTTTCTAAAGCAGCTGTACTGGTTTATATTCCCACTGGCTGGGTATGAGAGTGCTGGTTGTTTCACATCTTCACTGATTCTTGGCATTTTAAATTTTGGCCTTAATATGTATTTAGAAGATTATTTTTTTAAACAAAAAATTTTTTAAATATTCTACGTGCAATGACTCACTTGAACTTCAAAGAAAAAGAAATAAAGCCCAGAGCAATCAGAAAAAGGGGAAATACAGAATGCAAATCATATCTGAAAACTGCAATGTCTCAACAATCCACAATACAGAAAGCCTTTCTGGAGCTTTTAGGCCAGGGATTCCATCAGTGATTCTTTCCTATATTCCCAAGTGGCTGCTCTCCAAAAATCTACATCAAAATCTTTAATCCAAATCACTTAATGGTTAGGCGAATAGGCTCTGGACTCCAAATGCCAGGCCACCATTTCATGTGACTTTTCGGTGGTAATTGTCTCTATGAATAGTGCTGCCTATGGATAAGCAAAGACTGTTTTTTTTTCTTTTGGTTTATGAAAAAGCTCAACAGAAAATCAGAAACTATTATAATGAAGACCCTTGCACCCACTGCCAGGTTTGATTCTAATATTTAGCCATATCTTACTCCTTTAAGGAAATAAGTATTATAAATTTGGTTAAAGTCCCCTATAGATATTCCCAGATCAACCATGTATACTTATATCCACTAATGTACAATAAATATCCATTAATGGAAGAAAACATTTTTGCACATTGCATAGGTTTTTTTAATAAATGATCACACTAAATACTCATAAATGATCATTCTGTATGTACCTTATCCACCACTGCAATGTTATGATAATCTGATTTACTTTCTGCTTTGTGGCAATATTCCCCATGAGCATCATTTGCCAGAAAAAGAAGAGCCAGGGGAAGAAGCAAGCCAGTGAGACTGAAAACTCTAATGGGCCTTACTACTCATGCACAGATGCTATTCAAGGAAGCCACATGGCATGCTTCTACTGATATCTGAATAATCTAGTCTACAGTAAAGCCATGTCCAGAGTAAAGGGAAAAAATTGCTTTATTAAAGATCTGGGATATGGGTGTTGAATTTCTTATATGTTTGTTTTCTTAATCAGTAAAAATTAATAAATCTGTTCTCATTTAAAACAGAAATTAATGATAATAAATCATATTATTAAGAGGCAATGACACATAGTAAGCTTTCTTACATAACTAGGAAAATAATACTACAATCAATGAAAAACAAGTAGAATACAAAAAAAAAAGGAAAATACATGTATCTTTAAATTCTTTTATGAATAGAAAAAATATTTTTTGACTCAACAATGCCATACTCACCGAGCTACAACTAAAAACTGGTCAATCTGTCGATCTGTAAGTGGGCTATTGGGATCCCAAACTTTGACCTCCAATTTTGACTGTTCTCTTTCATCTGAGTCTCCTGCCCAAAAACAGATGAAATGGAGTCTTGTTACTCACAAAGCACACTGTGCCAAACAGTTGATGACTATGGTCATGACAGCATTAGAAATATTCAAAAGTAAGGTAAATGCTCATTGTCTTGATACATTCTTACGGAGAGCAGATGTACATACAAAAACTTGTAAAGTGAACAATGATGATAATATAACAAACCAATGACATGGCATCAGCATTAGCCTGCATTTTCTGAGTACCTGGATGCATGAGGCACTAAGCCCAATTCTAATGTATACAGCAATGAAATAGAAACCACTCCATACAAGACACTTCAACTATGAACGAAACAAAGAAACAGATGTCATAGAGATGTACAAATATAGCTGTAAGAATGCAAAGGTTAATCATTTCAGGCTAGCTAGGAAACAATGTCATGAGGGAGGTAGTGTTTCTGCTAAGAACTGAAGGGTATGAATGCACTGGCAGGGGAAGAAGACTTTTAAAAACAAGAGAACGTGAACAAAGTGATGGGTTTTTAAAATGTGGTAGAGAGAAAAATAGCTCATTTTGTCTGGAAGACATTAAGGGGAATGAAAAGAGATACCTAAGATAAGGGGGTTGTGAACATAATACTGAAGATTCTGAGTAGATTTTCTGAATAGATTTTATCTAGAAGGCAATAAGAAGCCTCTGCTTTTTGAACAAGGGAGTGATAAGACTAGAACCAAATATCAAATTTCACACTAATGGTATATGATTTGCTCTGTAGAGATAGCCAATGAAGTCAGAAAGATAGTATTATACACCTCTAAGAATTCCACCTGCAAGTAATGAGGGGCTGAAAAATAGTAACCAGAATGGCGAAAAAGAGCAAACAGACAATTTGGGGATGTCAGTGGTCAGTGACACAAGGGATGTACAGAATAGGTTTTGAGTCTTGTAAGCTATATGAACAGTGCTGGCATTAACAAAGAAGGACCACCAACAGGAAGTGAGAGCCAAGGGAAAAACTCTCTATGGTGCAGTATGCTTTGTTTAGAATATCTCTCAAGGGAATAAACTATTGGGTAGGATTCAATACTAGGACAAAGTATAGTATTGAAAAACAGACTTGGGAGTCAACAGGAATTTAGCTTTATAGCTATGGATTTTACCAGGCTGGGAGCTTTTTGGTGATAGGAACTGGTTTTGGCTTTGCTCTGGTTTTGATCACTGTGTTTGTAGTATCAGGTGGCATGCCTTACACTGACTAACATCATACTCTGAAGCCAAAAATTCCCTGGTAACAGACAAACTTTGACTGTGGGACTGTCAGTATAGGAGCAAGTGGACATCAATGAGATGACAGAGGATAGAATGAGGTGCTGCTTGGCCTATAGTCTCCTAAGTCAGCCCACTGCCATCAGTTTGGGTTGGATTCAGAGGCAGCTAACTAGAGGCCACTGCCACTCTCCATGAAACAGTGCAGCAGAGCAGAGCTATTCTTGGTCAAAGAGATCTAAAAATTTAAAAGGATTTCATTATTCATAGCTTTTGTTTACAACTCTTAGCATGCTAAGTCAAGGCATTCAACATGAGGCACATTTTTAAGACCAGTTAAAAAAAATTTTAAGTTGCAAACTGTATGAAACTTCAGGATAGAGAATGACATGATTACACTTCCCTGCATCGTAAAAACTACATTTTCCTTTACGTAATACAGTAATGTAGAAAAGACAACAATGGCAAAAATAAATGTGCTTGCTGAAATAATACAGATGAAATAGGGCTCTGTAATACTAAGCCACTTCTGTTATTTCTGCAAAATGTAAGGGTAAAACTGATTTTTACGATTCAAATTTTATTTAATTTGATAAATTTCAATTCCACTCTTGGATTTTACAGCATATAGCAGAAACAGAATTCAGCATAAGAATTCTAAATTAATTCACTGTACACAATAACAAAACATTCCTGTGTGCACTGCACTCAGACTAAGGCCAAAACTATCGACAATGCCAGAGAACAAAAACAGCAGAAACCACAAAAGAGTGAATACAGTAATGCTCTGTATCAAAGCAGTCACTGTAGACTAAATGGAGATTCTCATCTTGGATTCACCAAATGATCATATTCTTATCACAGCTTGATCACCTCTTCATAGGGGAGGGACTATACAGAGTCTGTAGAACTAAGCTTCAGCTAAGATACCAGCAGTCTTTGGAGTGGACCTGTAACGGTGGTATGAATTCCATTCTGTGGTCATGTTCATTCCAGTTACTGAAATAATCTTGCTATCTCCTCCATTTATGCTAATAAGGGCAATCCTAATCTGCTTGGGCTTCACATTGTCAAATAGTCCAGTCCATGAACATCTCCCTAACCACTGAAATCGCCACAAATTCATTTCCCAACTAAATAGGTGATTGTATATTGCTTCCTATTTTTGCTTAACTTTAAAGAAATGCAGATCCAGAAATGATTTGAAATGATTCAAATGTCAGTCCTAACTCTCCAGCCATATTTTAAGATTTCTAGAAAATACTGACAAAATATTTCTTCAGTATATCCCTTACATGCAACAAATAGTATTCACATACTATGAAGAACTAAGAGGCCAGACATGGTAGCTCAGGCCTATAATCCTACCTAATTGGGAGGCAGAGATCAGGAGAACTTCGATTTGAGGCAGCCCAGATAACAAATTAGCAAGACACCATCTAATCAATAAGCCAGGCGTGGTGGTGTGTGGATGTCAATCCAGATATGCAGGAAGCATAAATAGAAGGATTGCAGTCCAGGCTGGCCTGGGCATAAGAATGAGTCCCTATCTCAAAAATATTCAAAGTGAAAAGGGCTAGGGGCACGACTCAAGTGATGAAGCAACTATCTAGCAACCATAAAACCTTGAGTTCAAACCCCAGTACAGAATATAAATAAATAAATAAATAAATAAATAAATAAATAAATAAATAAATAAATGCTGTATCACTGTTGTCAAAGAGGTTTTTTTCCTGAATAACTGAAATATTCTTTGTCCCAATAAAATTTATTTTCATTGTACTGGTTGTCACAGTAATACATTTTTATCTTATATTGAATTCAGAAATACACAAGGATACCATTTGTCACTATTTTTGCTCAGGTTTGTTTGGTTTTTTTTAGTTTTTATTTTACTCATATGTGCATACAATGTTTGGGTCATTTCTGCCCCCTTCCCCTGTCCCCTCCCTTCCTCCCCTCCCTCTCCACTCCCCCCCTTACCCTCACTACTGGAGAAACTATTTTGCCTTATCTCTAATTTTGTTGAGAGAGAGTATAAGCAATAATAGGAAGGACAAGGGTTTTTTGCTGTTGAGATAGCAAATACAGGGAGTTGACTACATTGATTTCCTGTGCATGTTGGTTTACATTCTAAATTATGCTTCTTGATCTAACCTTTTTCTCTAGTTCCTGGTCCCTTCTCCTATTGGCCTCAGTTGCTTTAAGTATCTGCTTTAGTTTCTCTGTGTTAAGGGCAACAAATGCTAAGCTAATTTTTAGGTGTCTTACCTATCCTCACCCCTCCCTTGTGTGCTCTCGCTTTTATCATGTGCTCAGTCCAATCCCCATTGTGTGTTTGCCCTTGATCTAATGTCCATATGAGGGAGAACATACGATTTTTGGTCTTTTGGGCCAGGCTAACCTCACTCAGAATGATGTTCTCCAATTCCATCCATTTACCAGCAATGATAACATTTCGTTCTTCTTCATGGCTGCATAAAATTCCATTGTGTATAGATACCACATTTTTTAATCCATTCGTCAGTGGTGGGGCATCTTGGCTGTTTCCATAACTTGGCTATTGTGAATAGTGCCGCAATAAACATGGATGCAGGTGCCTCTGGAGTAACCTGTGTCACAGTCTTTTGGGTATATCCCCAAGAGTGGTATTGCTGGATCAAATGGTAGATCAATGTTTAGCTTTTTAAGTAGCCTCCAAATTTTTTCCAGAGTGGTTTGTACTAGTCTTACATTCCCACCAACAGTGTAAGGGTTCCTTTTTCCCCGCATCCTCGCCAACACCTGTTGTTGGTGGTGTTGCTGATGATGGCTATTCTAACAGGGGTGAGGTGGAATCTTAGTGTGGTTTTAATTTGCATTTCTTTATTGCTAGAGATGGTGAGCATTTTTTCATGTGTTTTTTGGCCATTTGAATTTCTTCTTTTGAGAAAGTTCTGTTTAGTTCACTTGCCCATTTCTTTATTGGTTCATTAATTTTGGGAGAATTTAGTTTTTTAAGTTCCCTATATATTCTGGTTATCAGTCCTTTGTCTGATATGTAGCTGGCAAATATTTTTTCCCACTTTGTGGGTGGTCTCTTCGGTTTAGAGACCATTTCTTTTGTTGAGCAGAAGCTTTTTAGTTTTATGAAGTCCCATTTATCTATGCTATCTCTTAGTTGCTGAGCTGCTGGGGTTCCATTGAGAAAGTTCTTGCCTCTACCTATTAATTACAGAGTATTACTTACTCTTTCCTGTACCAACTTTAGAGTTTTTGGTCTGATATTAATATCCTTGATCCATTTTGAGTTAATATTGGTATTTGGTGATAAACATGGATCTAGTTTCAGTTTTTTTCAGACTGCTAAAAAAAAGGATATCATTTGTCACCATTTTTGCTCACGTTTAATATTGTTCTGAGAATTCTAGCCAATGTACTAAGATATGGATCAAAGGAATAAGTAACTAGAATGCTATCATTAAAAAAAAAAACAACTCAGTGACATTCCAAACAGAAAATATAATGTAAAAAAACAATCACACTCACTGGTACAATAAAGATATAAAACACTAAGACATAAAACTGTGGGTGTGTTTATATAAAGAAATGATTAAACTTTCAAAGAAAAGATGATTTGAGAAAAAAAATTGAAGTAAATCTTAATGATACTACTTTTGTACAAGTGTCTCAGTAGATTAAATTTGTAAGAACTTAGTTTTAGAATTAAATGATTTTAATAATCTCTACAAATCAAGTAGTATTGTGATTCAAATAACAAGG